CATTTGTTCAATAAGATATGAAACTTTGCTTAATAATAGTGCCAAACATATGTTTATTTTCAGATTCAACTTAAACATAAAATGTTGGAGAACTTTTTTTGAGTGTCCTAAAACTTTTTGTGAGTGTTGTATAAACATATATTGTGCAACGAAGATTTTTTAAAAGTTATTAAATCAGATGTAAAATGCACATTCAAAAGAAAACGAATCCAATAATTCTATTTTCGTGTTTAACTAGGTTTTTTCTTGATTTTGTATAATCAAGATTGGGAGTTGGTGTGAAATTCTTTGTGATTTCATTAAGGCAAAGCTTAAAAGATTGTTTCGCAGCAGAAACACACTTTCTGCTTTTTTTCTGCCTTTTGACAATAAAACTTCTGTCATTTTCTGCTTTTTGTAGGCTATTTTCTGCTTTTCGAACTTTAAAAGGTGGCAACCCTGATCGCGACCAATTTACAAAGTCTATCTCACAATTAGAGCGGTAAGTACATATTCTTCGATACTTTGTTAGTAGTCGCGATAATGAGTGATCAACATCATTATTTTCTTTGTACTATTGACATATAGGCAAAGAAAAAATAGTGTATTTTACAGCCGTTGTTCTCTTTGAAATTTACACAGAGCTAGAAAATCACATTGAAACTTTCTAAAGATAGAAGGCTTGAAAGAGTCCCTAGTGGAGACAATAAATTCTGATAAGTCTACTAGAAGCGAATAGAATATCGGAGATCGAAAAATAATACTGAAAATGTGACTAAGTAAAGAATTCAGGAAAAGTCAAGTAGTGAGGGAGTTAGGTACACTGCAAATATAAATAGGATACAAATTATGTTCATAAGATCAAACAAATTCGATCATCTGTGATAGTGGCAAGGCAATGTTAGTGTACATAAAATCGAGTGCTTCGGGTTGTATGCGAGGGGAAAACCACTGAGACTTCAGTTTTGAAGTCTTTCTAAAGTCTTGTGAAGTCTCCTACGGTCCTAAGGAATTTTTGATGTACATTTAGCGCGTGAAAAAAATCATAAGAAAATCAATGAAACAGTCTGGTTTTTATTGATCTTATTTTAGCAAAAATGTGAGCTTTTATTATTTTGCCAATCTGCTCAAAAAGTCTGAGCTGGTTTGAAGTTAAAGAAGAATCTTAGTTTATAGTTTAATTCTTTTCAATGAAGTTGTTTATTTCTATAAGAAATGCTCCATCAATTCAATATCAATGTTTATGAAGAACTTTTATCTTGTTTATTTGTTCCTATCATTTGTAATAGTCTATCAGCCGATAAAAGGCTAACTTTATCGATGTATAACCAACACGTCGTTTGCTTATGTATAATTTTAGCTTGTAATTTTCTTTGCAATTGCTCGACACGACGGAGAATTTGTTGCATCTGTAAAAAAGATGCTCTTAACAGGACAATTTCTTGTAGACTAATGTTTTACATTTAGTAGCATCACCTTAACATGTTTCAGAGTTAAATATGTTGTATATAAGATTTTGAAAAGAAAAAAAATACTTTTTAATATTTGTCTAATTGATAGTGTGTTTTCCTTGATATAGAAATTCGATGCCATCTCTATGGCTTCTCGAACTCTCATGTAGTCTCGGAGTCATTTGAAATCTCATGAAGTCTCATAAATTCATGCAAAGCTTCGGAAGTCCTTTGAAGTCTCTGTTATTAAAGTCTCGTGAAGTGTTGAAGTCCGCTAATTCCCCCTCGGTTCTGTATGAAATTTTCACTAATGTTTTGAATGTAAACTGTGCAAAGCTGATGCAAATATCAATTATCTCGTTTTTATTTTCATGTTGTTTCATTTTCTTAATAAATGTGCAGTATCCAGATTATTTACTTTTACTTTAGCACAAGTAAATACACAATTTACTATTTACTTTAGTAACAGTAAATACAAGAATTTTTCTTTCCTTAATAGTAATTAAATATCGCATCTATTCCTTGCTTTAACATAAATGAACAGTCTGCTTGTGTATCTCACAGAATTAATGTCTATAACTCGATCAATCTCATTCTGCATGTCGCCCTATTTTTCTCAGAACCATGAGAGAAGCAACAATGTTTTGTTTCTAATTATACAATCTCCCATCTGTGTAATCGTTTCTGCGAAGAGAAGTAGACATGCTGTGCAGTCCAGATGTCTGTCAAAAATAGATTTTAAATCGAAAAAGAAAAGGCGTCTGTGACGCTGCATGTAACAGATTATAGTCTAATTTAGTGGTTTAGTCCGGGCTAGTCTAGTTTATAGAAATACAGTAGTTGTCAAAATTATAGACCCCCTTAGATACTCATACAGCAGTGTTTATTTTATTCCAACTATAGATGATATTTACCTGCCATTGGTATATGTATGTAGGACTACTGAGGTACTATCGAGTATCATGATTTCTCGCTTTCGTGTCTTAGCTATTGAATAGAAAACTGAAAAAATAGCTGTACCTTAATTATAGACCCTCTTGTGGCAAACAATATTTTATTTGTCTTACAGCTCAGCAATCGTTTCTGTTTTAATATATCAGCTAAATTCTGAACCTTTCCAATCTTTTCCGTCCAATTCGAAGTATTATTTAAGAATATTTCGTCTCAAAATCCGACAATCTGAGGTGTGTGTGGGTATGGATGTTCTTTACTTACACTACACCCACACCCACACCCTGCACTAGAAATTTGGTTTTTTTTCTAACAAACCAAAGATTAAAACTCTATAATATTCGATCGCAACACTAGATCAAAAATAAAATAAAATATAGAATGTTTTGTCTCATTGTTTTATCTTTATTTCTGCTCTATACGATCAATCTTTGTCAGCCCATCATTATTATGTATTTCAAATATTTTATCAAGTATTCCATAGACATATAAAATGATCAAATTTTTTTTTATTGAATTAAGTATTGACATTAAAAATGTGCTATTAGTTTTATTAAGTCTTTTTAAAAGTAACATCAACGTTCATTAGATATTCATTGTCTGTAAGATATTAATGTAGTCTTGTATTATAGTAAAAACCATTGTGATAATTATAATAAGATGGAGGTTGATAATATGGGGCTATATTACCATAATATAAATTACCATGTTGTGGTGGACCGTGTTCATTATTGTCATATGCCATGAATTCATTTTCTGATTTACGACGTTCCTTATGTTTAGCTATTGCATAGGCAGCTAAACCAGCAGCACCTGCAGCAAGTAACAATGGCATTTGATGTTGAGATTTGTGTTGTTTAATACCTATGCACACGTATAAATATATATATATATATATGTGCACAGATAGAAACGATGAAAAGTAAATATAATCATAATATCGTAGGTAGAAAAAATATATTTCTTTCTCATGATTCATTAGTAATACTTATTCATCAACATGTAATCATCGTATCTCTGTGTCACGTTTTATTCATCAATATGACTTAACATTACCTATTCTATAAACAAAATACCTTGCAAAATATTATCAAGTATACTACTGTATGAAAATAGATGAGTAATAGATGATTACAGCAAAATAGTGTTAGTATCTATCATCATTTAACATTTTTAATTGTATGCTAACAAATAAATAAAGTCTACTGAAATGAAATGTTCTAGATTCGATTGCTGTCTTTTTCTATACCCTGTAAATTTTTTTAAATTCTGTTTTGTAGAAAATCGACTTCAAATAAGTTAAAGCATTTTCAAAGTTTTATTATTCATTGGTTGAATTTCAAACTTTCAGAAAATGCTTAATTTTCTAAATATTAGAAATTCAATTTAATTTTCTGCAGAAAATCGAAACTTGAATATCAATAGTTTATTTTCAAGAACATAGAAAATCATCGGTAAATTCATATGAGCATTCCTAGAATATCCTTCATTAAACTCTATAACTTATTTTCTAGTTTACAATGTACGACAAATATACAATACATCACTACTTTTTTCTTTAATTGCTTTACCGTTTGGTTTCATTAGATGACACATAGGATAAGTCCCTAATGCACAACACATAGCCAAACTGAACTCATCGTTTATGAGATTAAAAGTGTCGAATTCAGATTGAGACCTGATTTTTTTTCTGGCTTTATTATTATTTGCTCTTTTTTTTATACATGCTCGATAAAAGATATTTATTATGCGTTAATACTATTGTAATATAATGATCATAACTCATAAGCATTAATACTATTTTCAAAAGGCGATAGCTATTAACAAATCGAAATATTGGGCTGGCAAGGAAATTTTTGCGTTTTTTTCAAAAATTTTCCTAAAGATAAGATGGCGATGCAACGCTATGAAGAGCATATTTCTAAATAAACTCTTTTTGAAAGAAAGATCTGCTTTCAGTTTCATAGCATTGTTCTATAGTACAAACAGGAATACACAAGACATTAGCTGAGAAAAGCGTGAAAAAACTATTTTTTTGTTCTATGCAAGTTTTACGAGTATATTTGATCTTTTGATAAGAAGATGGTGTAGTTAATGTACAAAACGAAAATCAGTAATGTCGAATTGAACCTAACTGGACAATAAGTAAATGAGGATGTTCGAAATGATTAGTCAGAAATATCCATACTTCCTGTCATAATCGGTCGCTTTTACAAGGAATATCCTTCAACCAGGGTTGCCAGATGTGAAATCCGAATATCCGGAAAGAGTTTCGAAGGTCAGTTTCGATCGCTTAAAGTTCATTTTTCGTAATCAAATTATTAACTATGTTATTCTTCATCTTCAAAAAATATATTGGAATGAAATAATAGAAAATACACATCAAAACATAGTTAAGTTAATAAATAAGAGATTATTAATTACATATGTCACTTTTATTTGCATGTTGTTTTTTAGTACAATATTTTTCATTAGAATGAATAAGTGTTAATAATTTTTGTTTTGATAAAAGAAAATTTTCAATTTCTGCACACACAATAAAGATGAATTTAAACGAATTTTTAGTTCAGCTCCAATCAGTTCTGGTGGCATACGATTTTGTTTATTATTGTATAGATGTGTCACTGTCGAACAAAACACTCTGAACATATACATTACTGCAAGGAATGAGAATAAAAGAGAAATGAATTTGTGTAAATTAGAAGAACCCGTAGATTTAACAGATAAAGTTATTTTCTGTAGGTGATCAGGTCTTATTTCTTTTGCTACACTATTTTCTTCTTTCGATCATTATTATCACTATTTTTTGTTCTGCTGCAACTTGTGTATTTGATGAGGTTTTTTGTTGAAAAAATCGTAAATTTGTGAAGATCTGGAAACAATTCAGAAACAACCCGGAAAATCCGGAAGCTGAAAGAGGTCCGGAAAAACTTGCAAAATCCGAAATTTTTCTGAAAGATTCAGAAGATCTGGCAACACTGCCTCCAACTATGTTTGGACTAGTCCAAAACATGCTCACATTGATCTTATCTAGTCCGATTTGTTTATTCATTCATTTTGTCCAGATAGTGAGCAGAACACAGGAGTGAGAAAATAAGGTGACGAAAGATGAATTCGAGTATATGACCCGGTACTATTCGGCACTTACCGGCAAACTACAATTCTACCTTGAAATAGACTCTTTTCTTTGCACTAAATTACTCAAATTAGGGGTGAGAAGTTATTGTTATTTTGTGGTTATTAATAACAATAACTTTTTTTTATTATTTATTATAAATAACAAGGAACTTTCTGTTTTGAAGAAAATTCTCAACTCGAACTGCTGTCTATTTCAACTGTAGCAATTCTATTGGCCTTTGCTTAAGGAATGAATTCGCTACTGTTATGACATCAATCGATCTCGGAATCTGAGAGTTTGCATAGATTGCATGGATAAAGATTTCACAGGTTTTTCACTGTTCAAAAAAAATAGAACCTGATTGACTTCTCTGGAAATTTTCATGGTTTCAACTCAATGAATTCTCTTGATGTGATAAGATAGCTGAAATTCAAACAGTTTTCTGAACTCAAGAAAAATATTCAATTTGAAATACTTGATAAATATCTCAGCGAATGATGATAGTTCAAAATTACAATATACAAGTGCGGATTAGTTAACTTCTTCATGTAGCAGCAGAGTTGGGTGTGGGTGTGAGCGAAGAGAGAGTCAACAACCACACCCACATCCTCATATTGTTTTTGAAAGATTATTTAAGTTAGATTCTCATATAAAATAAAACATTAACTGTTTTAATAAAAGGACGACTCAAGGTGTCTGTTATCAAACATAAAAAACAGAATAAAAAGTAGATAAAATCTTGATGATATATAGGACAAACAATTTCAACTTCAAACTATATTTAATATTAAGAATTTTAAAAAGCTTTGACTCTTGCAGTGCACTATTTTCAAAACTTAATATATAATTATTCAAGGACAATGAAAAAATTCTTGATCACTATTATTTTGTTAATGATAATATTAATTTGTTAATCAAAGCAAGAAGATCAACATATAATTCATACTTTATTTGGTGAACGAGATAAAAATGATATTTTTTATTATGGATTTGTTGATATAGATAAATATGAATACAATATAATAAACACATTAAAAGTCGATGATGTTGGAGATCCTCATAAAAGATAATATCCAATTTTACCATCGGCATATGATCCTTTCAATGATATTATATTTATGTCAGCTATAAATAATCAAAACAAAAAGTATTGCGTGCAATTAATGCTACAGCTGGTATTCTTTTGCATACATTTGACTCAATTCCAAATGAAATTATTTCTCTTCAATATGATATATTCAATAAAAAATTATTTGCACATACTGAAACTGATGATAAAAATTTAACACAAATTGTAGAAATCGATACAAATACTGGAAACTTTATAGATATTCTATGACAAATATCTGGAGCTAAATCAACTGAAATGTCAACATATTGTCCAATTGGTAGAAAATATTTTCTTATCATGTTGGAAAATGATCTTTATATATATGTTACTGTCAATACCACTGATGGTGGTGAAATTGGCTGGAGAGTACCATTAAATTTTTCTCCTCTTAGTATCAGATTTACTTATAAAACATTTTTAATGTACGCTGCCTATATAAATCGAACACATGAAACGACATCATAAATTGGAATAATAGACAGAATCACAGGAAGCATTGAAAAAGTAGTTGTAACTATTTCTAATCAAACCAATTTATTAGTTACTCGATTTTCGGCATTTGATATAGCTAATAATTTATATTATGCATCCGATATAATGATTAGACCGTTTTCTAATGGAATATCTTATCTGAATGTGAATACATGAGAAACAGAAAGAATTGCTTTACCAAAAACCAACTACAACTTCTATGCATGGTTTATTAAGCAATTTGTTCAATAAAATGAAACTTATTTGATACTTTTTTGCCTTCGAAATTTTTCGTATCAAAGCTAAAATATATATTTTTCCAATAATCTATATCGATATCATTACATTTGAATTTTAAATTACGAAAAAAAAACCAAATTCGAACAAGTATAATGCAAAGACTTTTTTTAAGTTTGAACTAGTACGAAAATAAAACTATATACATGCGTAGAGCTAATAAGTAAGCAAGAGGCTGATTTGTATGATCAATATGCAAAGAGATTTTCAACATCTTGTCAGTGCATCAATCAAGGTAATCTAATAATTAAAACTTTTTTGCTTCTTACAAAAATAATTACTAAGACGAAGAAACGCACTCAAAAAACTTCATCATCTATTTTGAATAAGATAAACATACACTATTATCAAGAAAAAAGAATGTGATGTCTATACCCTTAAAGTTCTAATTAACCTGAATTTTCGTACATGGTATTCATAATCCAATGAACATAAATATGTTGACTTATCCCGTGAAGCACATTTGTAATAGCTTGCTATGTATATTGGTATGCATTATGGTTTTTTACTATTAATGTTGATAGTGGATGCAATTTTGACGGATAATTACAAAAAAAAATCTCTTGATTGGGAAATGTGAAATACTGAAAAGCATCTAAACCTATTTTTGATTGAAGGGAAATGATTTGAGTTATAAAATATCTATATAGATAGACAGGATCAACTCCTACGGTAAATCTTGTAGCTGGTATCTTATACTATCTATATCACCATTTGAATCAGATGAAGGTCTTTTGATGTAAAAAAAAAATTGGAAAAAATAAATTCGCTTAATATTTAGTCGTTGACGGCATATTGAGAAGAAAATATTTTTTATTCGCTCTCGTCTATTATGATA